CAGTCGGACTGTAAACAGTTCCTAAACTAGTTTTTTCACAATACATTCCGTACAGATCTTCAGGAGAAACTCAGAAATACGCAGGGGCGACAAACAGACTTTCTTCACGCAGCATGGCTCGCGTAACATGATGATACATACAAACTTAGTGTTCTGACATTTATGCATGGATACTTTAAAAATTTTAAGTCTCTAGCTGAACCGAAAAGACGAAATCATATAAATTAGAACGGGTTTTAAACAAAAATCTAAAAAGCTTTCCGTCCGCAATGTTTCCTAAATTGTGAAATGCAATTGAAATTGACATTTAAGAAACTAGATCAAAATATTTAAATGCAACAATATTTAAACAAAGAGTAATTCATATTTATCTTGAGAATCATGAGAAGTTTAAATGCGAAAAACCTAGTTGTATATCATGTGAATAAGTTTTATGTAAAAAAACTAAAACTTTATTAGCTTATTTGTGTTTGTGTATCCACCATCATTAACACTCTGCATTTTAATCTATCTCTACATTAATCCTTCTGATCTCACCCTGCCACAGATCACCCGACAATCTCCTTCCTTCCAATCAACTCCTTACCTATCCAAAAATATAACTTGATGTCTTTAACTAATTATATCATTAACATTAACTTAGTTAGGGCCAATTACTCAAAACAACCTTCTCTGGTTAGGCGGGTCCAAACGGCATAGTAAATTGTGATTGCTTATTTGTAATATCTTATGCTTTGTTGTTGAATAAAAATATGAATAGATACTGATTAAGTGTTTAACTCCGTAGAGTTCTAATTGTTTAGATTTAGAGAAAATAGCCAGTTTTGTGACTTTTATAACAAAAGTATCTTTCTACTCTAAGCACCCCGAGTGCATGACTAAAGGCTAGTTTTCTGATTTAGTTCAATTTCAAATTTAAAACTGGTAGTTGAAAATATCTTTAACATTTTAATCCGTAATGATTACTCCTGATGAATTAGCAAAGGAAACAGAATTAAAGGGACTGTAAGCTGATTTCGATTTACAACGGTACCATAAAACCTGAATTTGATCAAAAATGTAAAAGAAAACTTCGTTTTTCTAACTCTTATATGTCTAATCCTGATAATTCCTCCAGAAATTCGCTTTGGTAGATAAACCACAAACCATAAAAAACAGGTTTAAAATGCAAAAACATGGATTTCTAATTTATATTTATCCCATCTTTGCAGGGATGATCATTTCAAATTACACTTACATTTAATGTTGGTTATTAGGTACAATCTTATTCAAGCTTTAAATAGAGTTACTACAGTTAATTCTCTAAATTAAATTAACTGAAGCCAACGTTAATTAAGTACAAGGGTATTAAATACAACTAGCTAAAGTGCCCGTCGTTGTCCGTGGAATTTTTTAAATTTTGAAGAAAAGACTTTGATTTTTGAAAAAAACGTCTAATCTTGTTAAGCCTATGTTACTCCCCGTGGGCAACCATGGATTTTCAAATGAAATCAGCTCTTTCTGTTCAACTGGAATCAAAATGTTTCTAATTACATTTGTGTTCCAATCAAATCAATTCCAATCAAAACAATTTCAATCAAATTAATTGCAACCAAAAGATTGCAATCAATAATTTTGCAATTAAATGTTTGTAATCAAATAGTAGTTACAATCAAATTAATTGCAATCAAAACAATTATAATCAGTATTATTGCAATAAAAACTTAATAAAAATCAAACCTCAATTGAACTCAAATCTCATTTGCAATCAAAATCAGTTGCAATCAAAACTAATTTTAATTTTACAAGAGTACTCTTTAACCCTTTGATGCGTCAAGAATAAATGAAATATTCTTATATTTTGCGAAAACAGATTATTTTTAATTGGATTTGCAGATTTATGCACGATATGTTCATTAAGGTTTCAATAAGCTATCATTGTGAGTAAAACATATCCCTCTTTTTTAATAATAAGGGAGTTGCTTGAAATTCAGTGATCAGTCCCTTTACCTAATATATTTTCTTTAAATAAAGGTTTTAATTTAAAGTTCTGATTGCAGTCAACTTTTTCATTTTGTTTAGTGTCTGTCATTGAGGACAGTAAATGTTTTTGGTAAATTGAATTATTTTCTTTTCCTTAGGGTCGTAGACTTTGCAGTTGATATCCACTCTGTAGGGATTATATCTCTTCAATTCATTAATCCTAGATCCAAAGGGTAAAAAAATAAATAAAACTTAACCATCTTTAATTTCTCAATATTCCATGCAGTAATAGTATACAGAAAAAGTTTCATTGTAATTTACAGTTTTCAACAGTTACAAATAAAATCCGGCTTATAATCTTTCAACACTTATTGGAAATACTACGGAGTAACTCCGATTTTAAATCCCTTAAGCTCTGCAACCCAATGTCAAACTGTGAATTCTGTTAGATCAAAAATTCTAAGTTTGAAATATCAAAGGTGTGCATTTTCCGGAAGTAAAGATTTGTTGCAAAAACTCATTTTCTTTTTTTTCTTGTAGTTTACAAGAAATAAATTGATTACTTTTAAAAAGCGTTAGTTTGTAGCTTAATAAAAATGATGCACCCCCCCCCCCCCTCCACCTCCTCTCCCTCTCAAGTGAAACTTGCTCAGAGGATTCATTAGCTCGGATAAGAGTATAATACCCTACTGCGGTGTAAATAGAATGAAAAGACTCGCTTACACAGGGCATAATAAATCTTTCCTTGTCTCCACTTTATTACGAGACAGAACATTGGGACAACAGAAGATTGAGTGGAGTGGGAGTATATGTACATTAAATGTTATTGCAGGTGATCCTCTATGCAAAAATGACAATGCCAGATTCACTACAGTACCCTTAAAAGCTTTATTTGATCAAGTATGAATTACATTTCGATGTTTATAATTTGTAAAACTGATTATATTTAATTGTGGTTTTTCTACTAAAGTGACTTGCGCAAGAAAACAAAGAGGAATTATCTTAATTAAGCACTTTTAACCCCGAAAAATGACAATTTCTTCCACTTTTCGATTAGATATCCTCCATTAATTAATTAAATGTCCATGTTTTTGTTTAAAAAATTTTTCATTTCCATTTCTTGCTAATGAAACCATAAACACATTTCGAGTAAGAAAAGCTACGTCATCTCGTTTTTAAAATTTCATATGTTACTTTTATATTGCAAAGATGTTTAGCATTTCATCAAAACAAACAGAAAAATGGAAAAATAAATAAAATTTGATTCAAAAAAATTTAATTCAGAGGGGAACAGGACTCAGAAATGTTGAAAAGCACTGTCTAAAAAATTCTTTCCAATTTTTTAAATGAATTTTCTTTTCCAAAATAAAAATTTTGGAATGACTGTTACACACCTTTTACCTAAAAAGAATAGATTAATATAGAGGAAAATTATGCCAAAAGAAGTGTAAAACCGCCATTTTGTTGTACTAGACAGAAAACCAGTTTTAAAACCCACTCTAGTATGCCGAGTCCATTAGCGCCTGGTCCAATCAGGGTTCAGACATGTGTTTGGTGTCTATTCTGAACCAATATAAATTAAACGGCGGTAATATCTATCTCCCTATCTAGCTCATTATCCAATTAAAGATAAATCCTTATGTCGACGCTTTAACAGTAAATGGAAATATTTACTTCTATTGAAACTATAGTGAACCCGAGTTTCAAGAATGGGGTTAGGCATTTTTTTGAATATCAATATTTTTGTAATGAAATATTATTTTTTCAGTTTGTTTATATTTTTTTCGAATCTCTTAAATCAAAATCTACACAAATGGAAAGACCCCAAAACGGGAACTCGGGAGTTTCGTTTAACGATACTCTTTTAAATTTCGGGCTCAGGTGTACTTCACACAAAGGAACTGAGTTTTTGCCACAAACTCAAATATTCTTGTCCCTATATCTTGGCAACCCAATGTCGAAGACCTTAGATATTTCAAACTGTTAATTCTGTTAGGTCAAATAATCTAAGTTTGAAATATCAAAGGTTTTTACCCACTGGTTGCAGAGATATAGAAATTAGAAAATTTGAGGTTGTGGCAAAAACTCAATTCCTTTGTGCTATGTAAACTTTTGGGCCCTGTACAATCTTATTATAGAACTGATGTTTTATGAAAATTATTTCTAAGCTTTTACCTCTCTATGGTGAAAGCTACAATGGTGAGTATAGAAGCGTATATAACTCCCTCGGTGACGGTGATTTTTATATCACAAGCAAGTTCACCGAACGGCCAGGGATACTGCTGCCACATTAGATACAGTTCACCAGGCATCACTGGGTAATAATAATAATAATAATAATAATCATAATAATAGCAATACTTGTAGTAATAATAAAAATAATGATAATAATAATAATAATAATAATAATAATAACAATAATAATAATAATAATAATAATAATAAAAATGATGATAATAATATTAATAACTAAAGTAACTTACTGATAACTAAAGTAGCAATATCTGCAATCGCTAGATTGAGAAGATACACATTAGTAGCAGTTCTCATATATTCATTATTTAATATTACCAAACAGGTTGCCAGGTTTCCAAACACCCCTACCACCATAAACAACCTAAAAAAAGAATTTCAAATAAAAAAGAAATCATAGGTTATAATTTTCTAATTGGGGGGGGGGCGCTTGACCACAAAGCCCCCCCTCCCTATTTATATTTCTATCTAGGAAAATGGACGACGATTCATAAACTTTTTTCTCCGGAGAATAATGAAGTCTAAGAAGTTGAGTTTTTGACAAAAATTAACAATTGTCTAATCCCTTTAATTTGTTAACCTTTGATATTTCAAGCTTTAGAATTCTGAAAGAACAAAAATTTAAGTTCATGAAATATCAAAAGTTTATGCGCCATCGGGCTGCAAAGATGTAGAAATAAGAAAATTTGAGTTTGCATTCCTTTTAGAGACCCTTACTTGGGTCCCTAGATATGAGAAAAATAAAATATATAAAATTATATATCTTTTATTTTGTATAATTATTAGAAATATTGTTTTGATATTAGATTATAACTGAAAAAATGCATCAAGAGGATATTTTTTAATATGTTTAATCTTTCTGAGCCCACGATTTAAAAACTTCAACTCGAGTCGTATAGTTCTTTAAATAAACCAGACGTTAAGACCCAATCTTCGGCCCAACTCTGACGACAGCTTGTGCCACGTGATTGACAGCTGCATCTTGCAAGATTTTCGGCTCGACTTAAGGAGTTAGGTCCAATTAAAATAAAACCGACCTTGGCTGGTTTTAGTGCAGAACAAGGCTCAATGTTGAATCTTGTTCTCACAAAAACCCAAAATGCGCAAATTCCTACCATGAAAATCCGCCAAATAGAATATTAAAAACCGGTTCTTTGAACTAAACTCTGTGGACAATAAGATGCAGCTTGAATCCGAAAGCTCAAGCCGTGAATAAGGCCCAACGACAGCGGAAACCCGAGCCGTATTTTTCCGAATTTTTTCAAATCACGGGCTCTGAAGACTTAAAAATTGCTTTTTTCTTTCTAGGTTGCAAAGATATCCGCAGAAAAATAGCGATGCATATTGTTAACAGGTAATACTATACTTTTCGCCCGTAATTTATTGGGTTTTTTTTCTAGAAAAAAGTTGTGTTACATTACTTTTCTCAAAAAATGAATCAAAGTAATTCAAATTTACTTAACACATGCTATACTTTATATTGTACATTTGTAACAAATAGAAACCCAATAGAAAACATAAAATATTACAAGGATATTCTTTAAATATTCCAGACTATAAGACTGATATAGTGTTGAGAATACTGCTAATTCTATCTATATATGTAATGTATATTGTTTATGTTTTAAATAAATCTACATTTATTTTAGAATATATACGATTTCCTTAATATTCAGAAAAAACATATCATCTTTTACAATTAATTCTATCTTAAAGGGAGTGTTCGCGAAAAATGAAAGGGGGTATAGGCTTATGCCGATAAATAATCGCTTCTGATTGCTACTTATCTTACTTCTATCTGTTGCGTCTATATGGAGAAAATTGTTAAAAACGCCTCATACCGAAGAACGAAGCGTTCATACAAATTGAGGAAGTTGAAACATACGACTTGGATCGTAAAAAAATCAAATTAATATCAAACACATAATTTAGATATTAAATCCTATAGTCATCGATTATTTTTCGACGCATTTGTATATAGTTGATTTTTCATAATATTTTTTATTTTGTGTTTTTTAAAATTAATATTTCGTTTACAACTTGTTTTCACGACTGGCGCATTCGCGGAAAAATGGAAAATGTCGTCTTCATTATCAAAATCCTCGAATCAGGGATGAATGTTTTCAAAAGTCACTCTCGGATCATAGAAAGTAAAAAAAATATTATGAATTATTAACTATATAGGAATGCGTCGAAAAATAATCGATGGCTATAAATTGTAATATCTGAATGCTTTGTTTGGTATTAAATTGATGTTGTTAGGATCCGAGTCGTATGTTGCAACTTTCTGAATTTGTAAGGAATTTACGTTCTTCGGTATGAGACGTTTTTAACAATTTTCTCATTATAGACGCAACAGATAGAAGAAAGATTAGTAGCGATCAAAAACGATTATTTATCGCCGTAAGCCTATACCCCCTTTCATTTTTCGCGAACACTCCGTTTAAAACATCTTAAAACTTTCTTAACTCTTATTTTCTAATTACCATCTCTGAGATCTGATGTCGTAGACCTTTGATATTTCAAACTTTGGCTTTTTCATCTAGCAGATTTCATAGCTTGTAATATCAAGAAGAACCTATTAGTGTTTGATGCGAGTCACTAGTTTCTTAAAAAATTAAAGATGTATTTTATATTATATTAAGACTACATTTTTAATGATAAAAAAGGTAAATTATAAAATTTTTAGGTTTTCTAATTTTGTTTCAATTTTTAACAACTTTTATATTAAGATACTTTTTATAAGATATAAAACATTTTATTTTACTTATTTCTGAAACCAGTTTCTATTCCGATACCTGGTTTTATAGCCTAAGACTGTTATAACTTTCAGGATTTGATATTAAATTCTAAATCACTACAGTGCATTTACTGCAGGCTGTAAGCTATTACAGCTTGAACATGAAGTGCAGTATAGTATCTCATGTAGATTAATCAGAGGTTTTCCACTTGATAATCATGGTCTGAGTCGGAAGGTTGAAAAACTAGACTGGCTAAAAGAATATTTATATTTGGTCCAAACCACGATTTAGCATATAAGTTGTATTGTCATTTATATTTATTGCACACAACAGAATAAAATACAGCCTTTATAATTAATTGTCTCTCTAAATAATGGTTAACCCTTTTTGCAGAAATCCAAAATTTGGATCACCCTGTTTTGTAGTATTCCAGAATTATAGTTCACCCTGTTTTGCAGTATTCCGAAATTATAGTTCACCCTGTTTTGCTGTATTCCGAAGTTATAGTTCACCCTGTTTTGCAATATTCCGAAATTGTAGTTCACCCTGTTTTGTAGTATTCCAGAATTATAGTTCACCCTGTTTTGTAGTATTCCGAAATTATAGTTCACCACGTTTTGTAGTATTCCGAAATTATAGTTCACCCTGTTTTGCAAACTATTTAAGTTATCGGTCAAAATTTTGTTCAATGAGCTGGCCTTGGCAAATTGGTCTATGCACATGCATTTCAACCCTATACCTATTCTCTAAGGCCTTCTTCCTATACATAGATTCAGGCACCCCCAGCCTTTATAGGGTTAACGTGACGACATTTTTTTCGTATATTGGAGCGCATCTAGAGTAAGCAACGTTACTTAACAACCTTGGTTTGGAAACTCATCTTTGTGATTGAAATATTACAAATTACAACATACCAATGTGGAAATAGAAAGAAGGATTGGATGTTAGGGATAAATTCCACAATTTATGTACTACGTGGAGACTATATTTTTTGGTTGAGGATAAATTGAGGAACAAATTGGTATTTTACAAATAAGGGCAATTTTAGAATCACTACCAGTCATCCTTCCATCCAGAAGTCGGACACGAACAAAGTTTGTGCTTATTTAAGAACAAGGGCAATAGGGAAGGGGGGAAGCGTCCAAACCTTGACTCCGTCAGGGGTGTAGGCCCCCCGCCCCCCCCTTCTTGTAGTAAATGCCATACTCTATAAGGGTTTCTCAAACCCGTATCTATCCAGGTACAACTCAGTTTCACTTTACTATCAATGTCAAAACCCGGACACGATCCCGTGAACTATCAATGCTAAACCAATGGGCACGATCTCGTCAGCTAACAATGTCAACACTAACACTAGCTTATAAATTATCAGTGTCAAACAAATGGGCACAATCTTGTCAGCTATCGATGTCAGCGTACTCAAAGCAAAGTCTATATCAACTAATGTGTATTTAGATATCTATGTTACAGATTAAGTTTAACATATATACATATTTACAAAATTAGCGCGGATCTATTTAAGCGTAGTTAAGCCAGTCACTGACATAGATATAAGTTTATCACAATACAGGTTTTGACGTATTTACAGACATAGCTAGGCTAGATTAATCACATTACAAGTTTGCGTAGTTAAAGGGACTGTAAAGGAAGAATTAAAGGGGGTATAGGATGAAACCTGAGAATCTCAGGCGTTAAATGAAACATATAAGACTTCCATCTGATGTTCCTGTCTCAGGTTTTCTCCTTTTATAATTTTAAAATTTTTACTTTGCATTTTGAATAGATATAATAGATAATATTATTACAAATAATCCGTATAGTCCGTATTACGTCACAATAACTTCAGCCGATGACAGTGCAGTATCGTTGTCACGTTGTACAGACAGAAATCATGTGACCAGTTTACTGCACTGCCATTGGCTGAAGTACTGGTGACATAATACGGATTAAATGTATTAATATTATCAATTAAATCTATTAAAAATGCTAAATAAAAATAAAATTATTATAACAGGAGCGAACCTGAGATTCTCAGGTTTCTGTAGGATATAGTCTTTTTTTCAGATTGGTTTCGTATTTGCTGAATATGATCTGTTTAAACCTACAACTTTTATATAAAATTGCATATATATGAATTTACGTATAAACGTAAATTTTTATATTCATTTCCCCGGGACAGGAACATCAGATAGATGTCTTATTTGTATCGTTCACCGCCTGAGATTCTCAGATTTCATCCTATACCCCCTTTCATTTTTATTTTACAGTCCGTTTAATGCAAAGCGCATTTGGATTTACAGACAATGTACAACGTAATATATCTTGGTATCTTCAGGTTAACAAATATGGGGATTGCTTTATTTATCACATTCCTCCCTCTTAGAAAACTCAATTCCCTCTTTTGAAACCGACGAACACACAAATGTGTTTCCTCTTGAATCCCAACCCCTTTACAAACTGCTAGAAGATCGGGGGTAAGATCATTTCAAAAATAAATCCTTTATACGCCCCTAGTTGGTCTGAACATAAACGTCATATATTTGAATGAAATAAAGGATATTTTTACAAAAAAACTTTTTATTTACAATTTGCTAAAAAAGTTAAACTTTAGAGTCTTTTGTTATGTCCAGGAATTAAGAGAATAATTTCTTTAAAGTATTCCGAAATGTGTTGGTCCCCGGTGTCACGCTAAAAAGTATCTTGGAGTGAGATAATTGCCGGGAAACTATATTTCTGTCTAAACACATCCAATTTCAAAAAATTCAGATGGATTTTTTTTACTAACATTTACATAATTTTCACGTGTGCAAGGGATAGAAATCAACTTCGCCTTTTCTTTTAACTCTTTGAAAGGAAGTCGAAAATTCGAGACGGAATATTGTTTTTTTTTTTAAACATCTTCTCTAGTATTGAAACATTAAAAAACATGTTAAACTTTGTTTGTTTGTTCAGTTAGTGTTTACTAATGCATCTATAGTCTATTATGGTGGGGAGAGTGTCTAAATTAGAAGTGCCTCAGTACCTTGGCATTATCTTACGCCTTACGCTTTTTAACGTCACACCGTGACACTGGTAGTTAAAAAGGATGAATGTTAGATTTGTAAACATGTCTAACAAACCTTGCTTTAAATATTGGATCATATAAGTGGAATAATCTTTATAACCTTGATTTAGATCTTTTAACCTCGAATTCCATTTTCTATTTTTGTATTTCTGATACAAGACCCCGGGGTAGAAATCGTATACTTACAAATAGACATTTTATATGATATTATATATAACAAGTGGAATTTGAAATAATTTTCTGGGGTTTGGGATAGAAAATATAATTTTGGGACGAAAAATTAAATTTATTGGGCTAACCTTAAAATTAAAATCCAGGTCATGAAAGGAATGACTATTAGTGGAATAGAAAGTAATTGTTTTGATTTTGGGACAAAAAATTAAACTGTTGGGACGGAAAATGAAAGTGTCAGGACTGACAATTATTTTTTCTGGGACAAAAAATAACTTAGGATGGGAAAAATAATCAATTTTGGAATTACATTGACCCCTGGATATATAGTAGTAGGGTCATAAACTTACAGATAGATGGCAGTAGTGGGATCAGATACTTACAAACATATGATATTTTAAGGTTATATATTTACAAACATATGATATTTTAAGGTTATACTTACAGATATATGATATTTTAAGGTTATATACTTACATATATATATGATATTTTAAGGTTATATACTTACATATATATGATATTTTAAGGTTATATACTTACATATATATGATATTTTAAGGTTATACTTACAAACATATGATATTTTAAGGTTACTTACAAACATATGATATTTTAAGGTTACTTACAAACATATGATATTTTAAGGTTATACTTAAAAACATATGATATTTTAAGGTTACTTACAAACATATGATATTTTAAGGTTATACTTACAGATATATAGTGGTAAGAGGGATCAGGGTTTTCAATTGAAGCCGAGAATCTCCAAGAATTTCCGCAATAAAATTTTTCAGATCTTCACCCTGCAAAATAGAAAAAATCCTTGAAAAAAGTACTTTTTATTTAAGTACGTTTTTAACAGAACTCCTTGTGTAGGTTTATACCCGGAAAAAACTCCTGGAGTATGTTTAAACCTCGAGAAGAACTCCTTGTGTATGTTTAAACCTGGAGAAGAACTCCTTGTGTATGCTTACACCTGGAGAAGTCAGTGCATATTTATATACCCGGAGGCTTGGTTCGTTTTTTGAATTTTAATAAATAAAACTTCCAAGGTTTTAAAACTGTATTATGTTAAAGCTTACTCTTATTCAACTTTTTAAACTAAAAAAATGGTCCAAAAACTATCGTTAGAACCTGCTCGTTTTTAGAACCTTTTTTGCATTTATTTCTGTCAGGGTCAAAATATGGCATATAGTGTATGAATGTTAAAAATAAATGATTTTTCAAAAATTTGCTTTTTCACACTTTGCCAAATGTTGACCCATAAAGAAAAAACGAACCAAAAAAAAAAAAAAACGAACTAACAACGAACTAAAACGAACTAAAAACGAACCAACTTATTGCAAATCCCTACCTGGAGAACATGATCAGTTTGGTTTGTAAAGTTTCCTGGATCCCAGTACAAGGTAACATTTTCTTCCATCTTTTCTCTGAAATGAAAATTATTTTAAAAATCAGTTTTTAATCAACTACAATATTTGCCTTTTTTTTAATGACTGAAACACACAAGGTAACTAATTCATTTTAAACAATTTAATTGATTCAGCAACTTTTCTTTGTTTAAAATATTCAGTAATTCTTGATAAGAAAGTAATACTTTTTTAATTTAAAACTTTTCTATGGAAGCCCTAATGCAAGATAAAGCCCAACTAATTTGTTCTCTTAACCTTTCACTTTGGGTTGTTAATACTCTTTTTTTTAAGAAACATTTCTTTATCTAATTAAGAGAACACAAGTAGCAATAAAAACATTTCTAAAAAAGAATAGAGGAAAGCATTATGGCTAGATTTTGATTTGACAGTAGTTTTGGTCTATAATTCCACAATCTTTAAACTTATCAATTATATTTTTCATTTAAAACGGATTCGCCGAGAAAAAAGTATAAAATAGAGAAAGCGAAAAACTCATGTTTATTTGGTCAAATTGTGATCGAAAGTCGGAGCTTGCTGGGATAAGGACCTAACGGTTAAATCAGTGCCAGGGTAATTGTCAATATGCGTCTTCAATATATATACTTTGCTTGTCTGGGTTGGCGGGTGTATGTTTGTTTGTATCCAAAAAAAAGTCAAAACGGCTGAACCGATCGCGCCAAATTTTTTTTTGTGAGACCTCTCGTTGCCTCAGGGAAGGTTTATGAATGATAAAATTTCAAAATTTTACTTCCGACAAAATTCGAATATCATTAAATTTTTAAACATTTTTAAAATACACAAATTTCTTTAATGAAATCTGCGAAGGCTAAACACAAATATACATTTTAATGATATGTAATTGATAATTTGCTGGATGAATCTTTTAAATTCTTGAATCCATCCTGTTTTGAAAATTCCTAAATCCTGTTTCCTGTTTCTCTCGGATTCTTATACATCAAACGCATTAAAACTGCAACAACAACCTTCTACATTGTAGTCGTGACAACCATAGATAAATAAATAAACATAGACAGCTTATGCACGCAAAATCACCAAGAATTGTACAGTCCGCGAACTCATACTTCTAGGGGTCAAAGTGTACTTCAATGATAAGCGGGGTGGGTGGTTTGATGTTTTAATGGATTTCATAATTATTAAACCACTCAGGAGTGAATTTTATTTTGAGAATAGCAAATTATTTCACTGAGCAATATATGATATTGACGAAAACTGAAAAAGGACATGAGAAGGACTAAACTATGTACACCACAAGTACTCAATGACATAAGAACAGCCAATGTTCACAACCGACCTAGTCAATCGATATAATAGGAATATCTTTAAAACATCTCTGTACATTTTTATCTTTTAAGAAGAAAAATTTCGTCTTATGTGCAATCTATCTTTATCTATGGTGACAACGCACGAATGATCGATAATTTACTGTTGAATAATTCTATATTTATAGTATTCGCTTTTTCATTCATCGGTAAAATGAAAATCTCGTTTTTGTAGTGTTGGGAAAATTCGATGAAGTCTTGTCTAGGCTTTATCTGTATTCTTTTATCTCGAAACAAGATTTGCAAAACGGATAGATTTATAGTCGAAATCCTTCACACCTTTGATAAGAAGATTTGATCTATTCGAACAAAGATTCATGAATCTGCATGCAGGGGCAGATACAGGATTTAAGTGAGGGGGGTGCTAGATTTATTTCGGAACTACACACAAATCTCAGGGGGGGGGGGTGACAGGGTGCGAAGATTCTGCCGCCCCTGTTGCATGCACAGATTAAACTCGAAGAACCAAAGGAATCACAGACATGGAAACTAAGAGGACGCGAAGACTTACCGCAGGAAAGAATAACAGACTCTAAACTCCAAAGACATAATTGGACTCACACGAGCACTAAAACGAAATTCCTAAAACAAATCTCACTGACAGAAGGACTAAAGGAATAAGACTCAGGGACATAAGAACACAAATAACTCACGAAAAAAAGATCTCAGTGGCTTGAGAACTCATGGAAATAAGAACTCATAAACGCAAGAACTTATGGCAGACAACTTCACGTACACAGATAACTCATGAACAGTGCAACTACTCACGGACATAATTCCTGTTGAGCTTAAATCTTAAAAACAAAAGAGCTTATTGCCAAAAAACTTAGCGACACTAATATCTCACGAACATAAGTTCTCCTGGGCTTAAAACTTTCGGATATTAGAACTAATGGACATAAGAGCTCACGTACATAAAACCTCACGGACTCAAGGACTCACAAGTCACGTTGCTATGGTCTGGTTCTAATGGTTCTCGCATTAATGTTGATTTATTTTGTTTACAATATAAGAGGGAATATTCCTAACTATTCAGTAATAAATAAAAACCATTTCTAATTTGCTATCTTCAATTTTATAATTATACTTCAGACAGGTGTTCTCATTAAAATCCTCAAAAATGTCGACAGAAGGATGCATAGATATCACATATGTATGACAATAAAACATGATGATATGTACTACTTTGGTTCAAGTTTCATCAAAATCAAGCTTTGTTCTGATACTATTCTTTGTAATCTTGTTCCTTTACCTTGGCGATACCAGCTGCCAGGCGACTGGGGATAGACTTAATAATTTTTCAACATAAAACCTCGTCACTGTCCCAATGTGGCCATTGAAAAAATCCATGGGTAATCATGGGTAATCATGGATAATCATGGGTAATCATGGGTAATCATGGGTAATCATGGGTAATCATGGATAATCATGGATAATCATGGGTAATCATGGGTAATCATGGATAATCTTGGGTAATCATGGGTAATCATGGATAATCATGGATAATCATGGATAATCATGGGTAATCATGGGTAATCATGGGTAATCATGGGTAATCATGGATAATCATGGGTAATCATGGATAATCATGGGTAATCATGGGTAATCATGGGTAATCATGGATAATCATGGATAATCACAACGAGAACAAGATTACAAATAATAGTATCAGAAGTTCGATTTTGATGAAACTTGAACCAAAGAAGTACATGTATATAACCTTATACCAATCAACTGTTTTAGTCATGCAAACATCATGGTTCAGATATATTTAAAAGTCCTGAATTTTTTTTGCTCACCCTTTAGTTCACAAAATTTGAAATAGAATATTTATTCCAAACTGCCTTGAATATATATTTTTATATACTAAAGTCTAAAAACCAATGATAACAAGTGTTTTTATGTAAATTCTAAAATTATAGACCCTCCACTAAAATTAGTCTAATAAGTACGCCTAACAATCTAGAAATCTATCAGACATGCTTGTATTAACTTTACGTAATGTTTCAATTGAGAATTATTTTATTTACGTCCAGTTATATTTTGACAACATATTGAACGCTTTTTAAAAATAGCCAAAATTTGAGCCAATTAGGGCAATGTTCTTAAAAAAAGGCTTGGAAAGCATAGCAGAGTAATGCATGATTTTTTATTTACTATATTACACTTTAACAATAGTTTTTCAAGATGGGAATGGAAATTTCAAAAAACAAATATATGTTGAATCGGCTGCCATCCATTAAACGCATTCTATTCCAATATCCAAGTTTATATTTAACACATTCATTATTAATTGCAGTGTCATAAAATTCAAAAGTTTCAACGTTTCTATTCAATTTTAAAATTCTGACATAACCTCTTTCCAAATGAGAAGATGACGTCAGCTTTCAGACTTGAAATTGTTTCTTATAAGCAAGAAACCGGAAATAAAAATAAACAGTTTAAAACATAAAACCAAAAAAATTGATCAGACAAAGCTTCTAAGGGTACCGTTGCAAATTGTACATTGCCATCTTTGCATGAAGGGTGACTTGAAACAACGCTAACAGTCCCTTTAATGATTTTCCTACAGATACTGTAATACATAGCTATTTAGCAGAAACAAATCTTTAACCTTTAAACTAAATAAAGGAACCAACCACTTGCCACAAACCCAGATTTTCTAATCTCTATATATCTTTGCAACCTGAGGACTAAATCTTCAATCTTTCAAACTTTAAGTCCTTGACCCTGACGAATTCATGATTTGAAATACCTAAGGGTTACGACAGTAAGTTGCAGAGGGGAGTAATCTGTTTCCTTTGACAAATATTTAAAGTAAAAGGGTTACTCAAACAGAATGAGATTGCAAGGACGACCTCAAGATTCTGTGATTCTGAGATTAAAAGCTTGATATTGGTTTCCTGCCTTTAATTTAGTAAATAAATTATTCACGATTGGATTTAGAAAAGAAAGAAGACAGTTCAGTCCTACAGAGAACTTCGAATGTCAGAAAAAGAATTAAACAAATTGCGTAACGTCGTCTTTGAAGTTTCAAGGTTTGCGGATAACTCTGTATCTTTAGACGTTAAATTGATTAATGTTCTTTTTGTATTCATTTTTTGATTGCCCAAATTAGAAAGGTAGGAAAGGGGTAGGGGGGTGGGGGGTGTAGATGGCTTTATTATCACTTGGTTGATTTTATTTATGTGGCAAATACACGGCTTTCATGGGTCGGCCAGGAAACTACCATAAATAATTAAGGAAATTACTGAACAAATCTTGGAAACTAACTAAAAGAATAAATTATAAATCGATTGATATGAAACGGTACGGTTTTTGGACAGAAATTTTCTCTCTATCGAGAGGGTTCGAGTCTTTTTAGATTTAATTTTGTTTCGAGGTTTAGCGAGGAAAAAATATAATTTAAAAAGGCGAGAGCCTTAGAGATATAGAGAAAAATTAAGTCCAAAAACTGTATAGCACGTCGTGCCAAAATAATACTGTTACAGGTAATTTTATGGAACGTTTATTTCAATGACTATTTTTCTAGATCAAATAAGCTTTGAAACAAAGCAGAAGTCAAAATATAAAGTTGATTTCAATTTAATTTTCATCTCAATTAAAAAAAATATGTTGCAAATATCCTAATTTTTTTGAGAAAATCCGGGAACCAATCAAAACACGTGCTGTAA